GAAGACATAATTTCAATTGACCTGTTAGAAGTAGTCCAGAACTGTTTTCAATTGAAGTGTCTTTTCTGTGTTTCAAAAAAATAAAACTTACATGACACCTTCTTCCTTTAGCATTTTAATTGATAGGTCATGTTTTGGAGTGATGAGCATTCCTGCTCAAGGGCTGGATGCTCATAACATAAGAGATAGCATAGAGATGGCAGGCAAACCTCTGTACTTGGAGACATGTGTGGTAAATGCAGAAATAAGCAGGTGTAACAAACGTAGGGACCTCTGGCATCTCTGGTAGTGTTCACTAACCAGGTAATTGGTGTTTCAAAATGGGAGAACAAGGGGAACACGCAACAGTTTGTGGTGTATTTTTGGTTTCATTTTTTGTTTGTTCTGGTGCTTTAGTTATCTTTTGCTTTAAAAGTGCAGGTGAAGTCTATGAGGATCAGACACCGTGGCCAGAGCTCTGTTCATCTAAATTAATTAGCATGAATTAATTAGCACTGTAGTCTAATGTCAAGGCTACATGCTTCCAACCAAAGACAATTTTGGATAAATTACCTGTGATAATCAGCTTCATTAGAATATTTTATCAATCTAGAATGGATTTCATTTTCTACCAAACATGTCTCTCCCAATAAAGGTGTAGCAAGATTCAACCTATTACAGCACCCAGTAGCAAAGCAATAGTGCAAACATTACCCCGTTTCTGTCAGAACTCATTCAAATTATGTGAAAATGACAGGCTAAGTACAAATGTATATTTAATAAAGTCAGCCATGGTCCTCTATGGCTGATGTACTCCTATCATAAAGCAATCATTAATATACTTCGCAGCAGCATTGAGTTAACTGGAAATGTGTTTTATTAATCCAGTTAAGTTCACACCGAATTTTACTCTGTGTATTGTCTGCAATTCCTTGTAACCAGTAACTGCAAGTTTTGCTGATTGCATTTTGTAGATGACCTTTGTATACCATCTTATGCAAAAAACCAGCAGATTAATTATTTTTAAGCTTTCAGTGTGTAAATTTTAGCCTTCAAAAAGGAAATTGCTTTATTGTCATGTAAATAGAGCTTAGCCATTGGGTAGGCTCAGTATGAACAAAAAGAAACTCCACCACAAACAAAAATAACCAAAACCAAACAAAGTCAAGGTATGAACAAACAAAAACTCCAACACACCAAAACCAAATACATAATGAGAATTTCTTTTTTTGCATGTAATTGCAGAACAACACTAATTTATTGTTAGAATACAACAGTTACTTGAAGCTAGTGTTCTGAGATGTGGTAGATATGGGGGTTTTTTGTTTGGTTTGGTTTTGTTTTTTGGGGTTTTTTTTTGGTTTTGCTACTGAAAATGAGTGACCTCATTCTGAACTGGTGTTCTGTTTCTTTTTTAGCCTGTTAGTGTGCTGGGAATTGCAGTTTGTGCTGGGGGAGCTGGCAGGCTCTGTGGGGTCTGCAGGTTTATGCTCCGAGTGTTGTCAAGGGCACTGTGATTGCATGGGGTGGTTAAACACACCTCACCTGCTCCAGAGTAACTCCTTCCTCTCCCGGTTTAGACTCTTTTTTTCCCCCCACTTTCAAGCCACTTAATGACATCTGCTTGTTACAGGCACCATTCCTGTTGTGAGATGTGCAGGACCAGTCCCTCCCAGCCCCACACACAGGTCTGTGCCAAGGCCATTCCCCAAAGGCTTTGTTGAACTGTCATTGACCCTAAGGCTCTGAAGACTTTCAGTGGCAAAGATCTTGGACAACTAGTTCAGTATTTAGTAAGGAATTGGTTTAAAATACCATGTTTCTTTTAAAATACCAAATCATCCATTTTGCTTCATGCTAACTTACACCCTGTTCTTCCTCGTTCCCTGAGGCCAGCTCTTTGTGCCTTTGTCAAGGTAACTGTGCATGGAGTTGCAGGTTAATGACCTCATGGCATGTGCCATTCCTCCTCAGGCCAGCTAAACCACTTTAATCTTCCTTCAGAGCTGAAGCTTTCTAGTCCCCTGTTGTGGTAGTTACACTCTGGCTTTCTCTAGACAGACTGGCTTTTGAGGTGGGGGGGCTTACATATAATCTTAGACCAGATAAGCCAAAACTGGATTTTGTTTCTCTTTGAATTTGTTTCCTCAATCTTACAAGGATGATTTAAAATTCTTAAACCTGCTTTCTGAAGAACTTCCAGCATTCCAGAACCATCAGCAGTTCATGAACCTCTCCCTCACATGTCAGTCCCATGGTGTATGTCCTTTCAGCCCAGCACAAGATAAACAGTATCTATAACATCTGTAACTATCACATAATGATTTTGAAATGATTTACTGTCTCTTCATCTGCATCCTAGTTCCTTCTTTTTAATGGCAAGAATTAAACACTCTTGCTCATTCTGTTTCTCCTCCATAAGCTCAGTCAAGAAAAGAATTTAGAATTCATTAAAATGAAGGATAAAGTTCTTGCCCAACTGCAAGGTATTTGCAAACAACTCCTGTATTTGAAGGCAGTCTGGTGTAATCTTTCCCCTTCTCCAAAGGTGCTTGAAAAGCTGGTGATGTAGTGAATTGTCCTTTCAGTACATCCACCTCTAGTTCATTCCCTACAAGAAAAAACAGGCCCACTGGAGGTTTGGTTTTTATTAACTGAAGTATCGACTCATTGCTGCTGCTTTTGATCAGTCTTTGTAAGGTAGGCTCAATTTCAAACAGAATGTGAGGCACAGAACAGGAATGAGAGAGCTTGTGCAACATAAAGATCTTCCAAAACACAAACTCGTTGAACCATTTAAGCTGCATTCCACTTTTGAAATGTTAACATTGTATATGTATGTACACATATTTTGAAAATAGTAATCCTCAGTCAATCAAGACACAGAAGATAAAATACATTTCATATAAATACATTCATGGATTAAAAAAAATAGTCTTATAACCTGCTGACAGACTTGAGTGTAAGTATCTTTCTTACATCTATTTCACTCTGTGATGCTAATAGGCAGACTAAAGGCTATTTAATAGAGACCAGTTTTAAAACACGGAAAAACTGGTAACATGGCTCCAGGACCACGTAACTTTAAAAGTTGCTACTAATACAGGAAGTATTTCCTGTTGTCCATAAACAACTGTGTATCTTAAAAAAAAAAATTAGAAAAGCTATTTCCTTGTTTCTTTAAGTGACTCTTGTAGTTCCATGCATGACTGGATACTGTTGCCTTTATATAACTGATTTTCTTTCTCTCTTTCCCCTCAGGGTTCTTGGAAGGTGAGCTGGCATTGTTCTGGACTAGCCAGAGAAAATTATACATGGTGAAGTTGGTCCTCAGGAGAAGGGATGGTTTACTTGAAGAGTGTAGAGCCATCATTTATTTTTACCAAAGTCTATTTTGGAAAATACAAATGCATATACATGCAGAAAAGGAAAAACTTGTCCTTAAATTGCTAGCTCATGTGTTCAAGAGAAGCAATGTACACAATATTTTACGTTCTGTACAGTGATAATACGAAATAATGTTTTTTAATCATCATATACACAACACAAATATTATTGAAAGCTATAAATACTTCCAAATGAATTTGCAATATAGAGCAATTGAGGGCTACAGCTGTACAAAATGTAAGCAACATATATAAAACAATTAAGAAAGTGCAAAGCAGAACAGTATCAAGAGGCTCTACTTTTTACAGCACTTATGGTTCAAGTGTGAAGAGCTGGCAGGGAGGCAGGAGCTCAGCTACAATTCAAAAGACACAGTACAGGATTCGGCACACAAAATGATGGACTATTATTAAATTATATTTTCCTCCTTCTTCACAGCTATGACTTCCAGTTAATAAGAGAACATTTTTATAATGAACTTCTGTAAAGAGTGATTTGTCCTTATTTACAAGTTTCCAGGAAACAAAGATTCCCTGGCGACAGACTACTTTTCTGTAAGTAAAACAAGACCAGACAGGGAAACTCTTGTTGGTTTCTGGTTGCTTTGTCATGCTTACCATAGTTAAAAGGTGAACAGAAATACCTTCCATAAAGGAATGCAGATACTTAAAACCTGATCCTCAAAGTTATGTCCAAGTAACCTGTACCAATACTCATCTGTATGTGAAGGTCTAGAGAATCAGTGCCTTAAAAACATCAGCTACCTCTCAAAAAAACCCACCAAAGCTCTTTGAGTTTCAAGTCTGTTTAGAGATCACTGCCCATCAGTTTCACAGCTGTTTGCCAGATTCAAGTTCTGCATTCAGGCACTGATTTCTCACCAGCAACCCAGAGTAGTGCAAGTCTTTGTTCTCTTTTATACTCTGTGTCCAGTGGAAAGCTCTTCTTGAATTAAAATGCAATGACAATTAAAAACCTATTTGGTGAGTTGGAAGTTGAAATAATTCAATCCTCTTGAGTGAAATTTCTTATAACTTGTTTTTAGAAAGCTTTTCAGTTCACCTTTATTTCAGTAAGTGTACTTTCTATTCTTTTGTAGGCACTGTAAATATTCAAGATACTGATATGGAGAAGAATTCATTCTCAAGCAGTACATTATTACTGATCTCTAGCAAGTTCTTGGCTACTGCTGTTGTCTTGGCTTTGTTTTTAAATGGAGAAAGGTAGACATTAGATACTCCCTTTCCCTCCTTGCTAGAGGGAAGTATCTTAATAAAAGTGTTTTATTATGACAGAAAAATCATCGCAATTACATTATTTTTTTCTCTGTGAAATACAGGTCAGACTTCAGCACAAGTTAAAGAGAAGTTGTAAGCAGTCTGAATATGCTAGAGAAACAATAAAATTACCTGGTCACACTGCTTCACATAATGATGTCTGTCTCAAAACTGGAGATGATCCCATGAAACTCTATGAAGACCATCAGTGTCCAATCTGCTAATAATTAAGAATTTGGAGTCTAAGATATTCTCTGTTTCACTTGATAGAGATTATAGAAACAGTCATCCATCTGGTGTATTTTTTGAATGTGTGTTATCTACAGTATACACAGACATCCAAAACTGAGGCATGAGAAGGATGTAACAGCTGCCTGGTCAGCAGAGCTGTTTATTTGCCTCCATACATTCTTTCAATGTCATTGAGGTAATGGTTTTTCAGTTCTTTCCTTTTCAGCTTGAAAGCATCTGTTACCAACCCAGTCTCAGGGGTCCATGGTTCAGGGCTTAACCGGACCTTGATGGGTATTTCAAATCTTTCTAATTTCACTGCAAGAACAAGAACAAAGAAAAGCATGACTTTGATTACAAATCCAAATGAAATACTAATTCATGCTCCCTAAAAATCTGGTCCACAGATTAAGTGATTAAGTGGTGTCCTACTTAATGAAATAACCTTACAGAAGGGCCACAGGAAAATTTCATCCTGTCCCATCACTGAGTGCTGCTTAGTACACAAGTACTCTAATAACACTCTGTTTTTAGAGCCGATATTGGATGTGACAATGAAAAATCTAAAGCTTAAAACAAATGACTGAGTAGCCTGAAGCTCTGAGACTACTGCCACAAGAGCAAACACTGAAATCTACAGTTGTATCTTTGTTACAGGAGTGGAGTAACTAGATTAACTCAGACTAGCTGGACATGCTTCATATTTAAATTATAATGAAGTACTTGTACACTTTCCCTAGCTGAATGTTTCTTTCCTATATTTTTTTATTCCTAAAAGTCTGTTTAGAGTTCAAAACAAAGGGACTTCTTTCTAGTTTTATAACATTAGCCACTTACTTTCCCTTCAGCTGGAAGCAGTGGCTTGGCACACGTACAGCCTCATCGCAACCAAGGCTGCTTCTCTCTCTTGCACAGGTAATAGCCCAAGAGGGAGAAGCAAGGGAGGAGAAATGGAACTGCTTGAGGGGGAAGGGCAGAAGCAGAAAGAACAGCACAGGGAGCTGCTGCATGTGCCCAGTACTGCCTGGAGTTTGCTACCAGCTCCTGGGTAGGCTGGGAATGGGATCCAGAAACATGGACTTGTAGTTAAATTCCAACACAGCCTCTGGGGGGCAGCAGAAATGGAACCCAGAAGCTCCTCTGCCTTTCTAACTTCAGCTGCTATCAAGACGTGCTGCTGCCTCTCACTTAGGTGTGTGCCTGCTCATGATGAAGGTGCATCATGCTCTGCTAAGAACGAGAACCACCTCTTTAAAATAGTTTTGAAAAAAGTTTCACATAAATTAGTTGTATCTCAATAGTAGATTACTATCTAGAAGGCAGAAAGAATGTATAAGCAAAGGGTTTAAGTACACAGAGCTATATGGACAGTAATCTGCCCAATTCACCGTAAAAACCTCCAGGGATTCAAGTGTTTAAACCCAAGCCTTAAACATATGGATTGATTTATTTTTTTCAAGGTAAGGCTTAATAGTGCCTTTAATTCTTGTTTTCTTATTTTCAAAAGGCAGATTCTCCTCTGTGCTCAAGAGAAAGTGCTTAGCATGTGCTTAAGTGCAGCTTTTACCGCTTCCTTGTATGAGGTGCCAAGTGCTTTAGAGACTTTCTTCCCCACTGAGTTTACTCATATTTTTGTCCTGTAAAGGACTGATGACACTTCTGATCCTTCAGTACCACAGCAAGGAGTAGCAGGCTTTTAAGCCTCTACAGCCACAAGGATCATGGCTGTTAAAAGCTATAGGGAACAAAGCTGTATGGGGAAAAATGCTTTGAAATCTCTTGTTGAACCAGTTTCCTTACCAACAAATGCCTTGCAACTTTTCTTCCAATTAACACCTCTTTTGCACTTTATTTTAACCATATTAGACAAGCAACTTGTCTCCTGAATTTAGCTGAAAAAACCTTCAGATATTTCATAAAAACTACAAGTAGTATAGTAATCAATTCAACCAGTATTATGTAAATACCAGGGATAATATGCAACAATTTCATATGATCTTTGCCTTGATAAATGATTAAGTTTTGGCAGATACAGAGAAATTGGAAGAAGGAGGAGCAGTCAGTGAGGATAATGACAGTTTTTGCTGGATAAGCCCCCATGGCCAGCAGGATATGCTGTGGTACTTACTCTTGTTTGCCACTTCTTTAATCTCTCGCAGTATTTCTGCTTCCATTGTAGGATTGTTACAAATGTCCACCCAGCTTCCACTGATGCCTTTCTGCTCAGCCAGTGCTGTCAGCTTCTTCTGGTTAGGGACCACAAAACTGATCACATAGGACTGGTCACTACACAGAGTGACAAGAGAAGGAAAAAAGGTCCAGTCAAGACTTTAATTTCAGGGTGTAAATTACCTGCTGTTGGACCCACAAATACCCAGGGCTTTCTGAACTCAAGTTATTCCACCATACAGAATCCTTCTTGTGCATTAAGTCTTCACATGTGATGGCTTATCAAGAAGATATTTTAAGGTAGCTTACAACATCAGGTTTGATCAAAATAAGGCTTTGCTGTCATTTCACTCATGCACATCTCAGTTTAGCTCCTCAGCTAGACATGGGGTTTAACCACTTCTCTGCAGCTCCCCCTCATGTAGGGAGAGAGGGGAAGATATTTGGACTATTTCCAAAACCCACTGGAAAGCTTTGGATCAGGTGCAAAGTGTCCAGATTAACTTTTTACAGGTATTCTGACAGCTAAAACACATGCTAAATATAATGATACATAATGATATATACTTGCTTAGGGAAGGGATGGGGTGGAACAGAAGCATATCTGGATAGGAAAAATGCCAACAGAAAAATAGGTAATTTCTTCAGCTTTTAGGGAACCTAGGAACCTGTGCTTCTTCAGACATGCTGTTTGTAACCAGTACTCTGATGGAGGGGGTTATTAGAAGGAAACTTAGAAAACTAGTTGGATCAGAGAAGCGGATCAGGGACTGTACTTCATGTTTACTCTAAACAGAATTTCTAAATTAATACTGCTCTTACCTTTTGGCATAAGCACAGATATTGTCAATCAATGGGCAGTTCTTCAGTGCTGCCTCTACTTTGCCCAGAGATACATATTCTCCTGCTTGTAGCTTTACCAAGTCCTTCTTACGATCTAGGAGTCAGGGGAAGGGAAAAAAAAAAACCCTGTTTAATTTAAATGTAAGCATTTCCACAGATTCATTTCCATACTTACTGTGTTTTGTCTTTTGTGCTATGATCTTAATCACATCTTAATAGACAAATTTTAAAGGAGCTAATAGCTGCAAAACTTAAGATTTCTGTAAAAAAGTGTTATAGCACTACACTTTTTGTCACATAGCTTGTAGGAAAGGACTCTTATTTTAAAGCTTTGTAATTAATACAAAAGTTATTGTTAAAAGGCCCAGTGCTAAATTTAGATAATGATAATATCACAGGAAATGGCATCACTTCCAAAATTTTACTTCAGCTATAAGAACTTTTGGAAATGTGTTTTACACTAATTCTGTAAATAGGTAACCTTAAGTAGATTAGCCCAGGCAAAGCCAACAGTATGAATAACATGTTTATAATTATGGTTAGTCCATATCTTGTAATATATTAAGGTATCAAAAACTGAAGCTCACCTATGATCTGCAGACACCCATCTGGATGAAATTCCCCAATATCTCCTGTACAGAACCATCTCTGGCCATTCTCATCAACAGAAAACTCTTCTGTTGTCTTCTCTTCATTTTTAAAATATCCCATGGAGACGTTGGGTCCACCAATTATAATTTCTCCTCTAGGATTAGGCTTGTCTTTATTGGTATAGCCCCCTGAAAACAACACAGTCCCAAGCAATTATCTTGAATTTATATATCCTTCTGCTAAGAAAATACCTTGAAACCACAGCATGAATTTAAAGCATGCTAACTGATGACTTTGATAAAAGATAAGCAATTACTTCATATGCCTCACATAGGTAAGCAGATAGGCAAAGATACCAGCAAGGCTAAATTACTCTGAAATCAAAACTATTACTACTCTCACCTTCTTGCCAGTCTCTCAGTTTTATTTCACAACAAATAAGAGGAGCTCCAACTCTGCCAGTGCTGTAATCAGCAACTTAGGGAGAGAACAAGAAAGAAAAGCAAGATATTTTTTGTTATTTGAAATATGAATATGGTGCATCTTATCTCAAGTTACTTCAGTGCAGAACTACAGCTGTAGTATTGTAGATGTATTTTGACTTGTTTTAAAATAATTAAAAATCACCAAATGCCCATACGTGTCTATTTCTTAACTTACGTATTTCCATAGATGTTTTAACTACCTTCTGTAATGGTTCCGGCTCCACACGTTTCTGTCAGTCCATAGCCTTGACCAACAGGACAGCAGAAACAGATGTTCATGAATCTTTGTGTTTGAGGTGAAAGTGGTGCTCCTCCAGAAAGCATCATACGGACATTCCCTCCTAGCAAGGCCTTTACTTTTTTAAACAGTAGTCTTGAAAGAAGACAACAAGCATTAAAAATTATTCACTTAGCTCACTCCTACAAGAAGACACAAACCTTCCTTACTTCCTATCTGGAATGCCTTAAAAATTAACTTTTTCCCAGATTTTAGTAGACAGCAGGGCTAATCCAAACCCATTACCTCTTGTGTAACACTTTAAGGAGGCAGAGTTCCCGTAGCTTAACAAACATTCCAGTTTTATCACTTAAAAAAAGCAGTGCAATGAAAATGAACCAGGCAGCTGTTTGGAAGATTAGTCATTACTTTGAAATACCTGTTTCCAGTAAGAACTTGGACTACTTCAGTTACTCATTAGGTGTTATTTGCTTGTTGGATGAGAACGGTCTGATAGCTCAGAGGATTATTCTTTTAGACTGTCCTAACAGATCCCAAGCCAGAAGGCACCCTTGGCCCATGAATGCTACTTACATGTTACAGAGAGGTGCATCATATCCTCTCTTGATCTGTTCCAATTTGTAGTCATAGCCTATCTTGAACAGAGTTCTCTGAATATAGTTCATCTCTTGTACTTTACTCATGACATTTTTATAAATTCTGTCCATTATTTCCTACAAAGTGTTAATAAAAGGAAAATTACCATGTGGGACAGACCAGCATGTGTGAATTCAATCTCATGTCATAAGTAATCTCCCTCCTCATTATTCCTCCTTTAAAATGGATAATAACAGTGAAAATCTTTGCATCAAGCGGTTAGGCAGTGCTTAAGTGCAATGCTTTTAACATGTAATAATGAGCCAATTCATAGACCATTGCAGCTTGGAACTATTCACACCTGAACCTGTACTTAAACTGTGACAAACTGATTTAGAAAATTTTAAATTCAAGTTTAACTCAATATCTTTGTTAAAGGTTGGTATATTCCCCTCAAGATGTGTTGTGCTTGGGAATGCTGATACTGTACTTTATTCACAGCAATTGGTAAGTACAAGGGAATGAACTAGGAGAATTCTTTTCACCATTTCCTTTTCCAAGAGAATTCTTAAACTTTCAAAGCAACATGATTGCAGTAATTCTAATTATCTGACAAAACCCCACCATAATTCTGTCACAGACCAGAGATTAATTTCCATTAAAATAATAAGCTTATGGTCACCCAAAGACACAGAACTTAAAACACTTCTCAGACTGGTGAATATTTAATAGAAGTTTAACGATTGTGCTTCAAAACAAACTTAAAGTAGCCAATGTTTTGAAGTATTTGTGTGCTTTCTCTCCATTAAATAAATTTAAACGGATATTTTCCAAAAGGTTGGAGTTCTCAGACGTATTAGTTGTCACTATGTTAATTATTAAGAAGACAACCAAGCCTTTATATGTGCTTATGATTTTATAAAATAAAAGAATGCAAGTGACTAAATAGATTTTAAAACTCCTGGCTATTCTAAAATGTTGCAGAACAAGCAGATCCAACCAAATTAGACTAAATCTTCCTACTCTCTCCCCACCACCATGTGGCACCATCTAGTGCTACCAGTTTTATGAGCCACAGATTTGACAGGATCCTAAAAGCAGGAGGATGCTGTGATGGCAGCACATGTGAGGAGAGCCTTGGTACCAGGACAACAAACATTTGTGGAGTTTTTGGATAGCACCACAGCCGTGTGGAGTGCAGGAGCCTGATCACTCCCAGAGCGGTGTAAGCTGCATAAGCAATAGGAGTTAGTCTCGTGATCACTCTTTCCTCTGAGAGAATGCTAGGCCTGGCCTGCTAACCTTGAGATCAGCAAGAGAGACTCAACCTCAGTGTTACCTTGACTTGCTAAGTCTGTGACTGAGACAAATGTCCATATCCTTAAAGTGTTCTTACCACAACCACCCTGTTTGTCCCTGTGCAAAAAGGAGTTCCAGACTGTGACTGTGTCCTATTGTAGTGTCAGTATGCCAGTAAAACACCATTTGTAACTACTGAAACATTTACAGGTTTAGATCAAAAAGGATCTGGCTTTATTACAGGCAGACTCTTGTGCTAATCTGCAGCATCAGTACTCAGTTCAATCCGCCAAAAGGTGGAATGTCTGTGTTTGCTCTTTTCCTATGACAGTTACTTACATGTGAAGAGAAAAACATGTTAGTAAATACATTTTTCTAGCATAAAAAAGACAGAAAACACTTTTTTGCTGGACATATCTGCTTCTGCATACTTACAGGCACAGCTGCCATCAGTGTAGGCTTAAGTACAGTACAGTCTCCTTTGCTTCCCTTCTTAATTTTACTCGACTGTAATAAGGAAAACAATGTCAATTTATGAAGCTGAAAACCAAACAGTGCTTCAAAATTAAAGGACTAGCAAAAGGAGAAGATACATTCAAATATCTTCCCCTGTTCCTGTGTCATTTTCCCCCCATTGTTATGGAAAGGGTAATGATTAATCTATTTCAACCAAAATACTCAATCTTTTACAAGTTCACTTTGTTTATCTTTCTCTTACTTCCTCCCTCTAGTACTTGCTTTTGTTGGAGTCTGGGATACAGAGTGTGTGCCCTTGTTTCTGATACTTAGTTCTAAGATCCAGAAAAACACTGAATTTCATATAATATGAAATTCATGAGCATGTTTTCATGGTGATATATGAAAACAACTGTTAAAGTTAGATAGAAAAAGCTAAAAGTGTGTGTAGATTAGAAAGTTTTCTTAAGTCACTGGGTGAAAAAGTTAGTTTAGAGAACAGGAGACAAGATGGAGGATTTAGGGTGTTGTTCCTTGTCTCTTCTTCTTTCTTCTTCATGTTCTTCTCCTTGAGGTTTTTGGGCAATAGTAAGTGATTGGACAGAAAATGCCACAGTGTAGCACAGAGGTGATGGGTCATTGGGTCATTAAGAAAAATAATATACATGTCTATTGTTAATTGAGTAAAAATAGGTATAAAGATAAAAGAACTGCGTAGTTTGGGGTCATTTTGTGCATCAGACATGAAGTGAGCCACAAGGCCTTGTTGTACTATCAGATGAAAGAAATGTACCAGATTACAAAGAATTAACCTTGTGCAGCCAATCTGGAGAGACCTGCCAAGTTTTGTGATGACCTTCTAATAAACATGAGAAACAAGATTCTAACGAGCTTGGGAGTTTTCATCAAAACTAGAGAACTGAGATAAGCAGGGCTCCCCACGAGAGAGGATCCCAAAAAGAATTCAGTCCAAAGGAGGCTGAGAAAACCAGGAAGAAAAAGAAAAATAAAGAAGAAATGCAGCAGAATCAGAGAAACAGAAAAAGGATTTTTTAGAGAAAAGTCACAGCTTTCTCCTCCCTCTCTGGGAGCTTGTTTTGCTTGATGCAAATCTCTCTACAAGCAAAACATACAGAGGTATCTATTCTGGCTGAATTTATTCTTATTTATCTGAATTGTTAAAGGGAAAAAGGCAAAGGTCTAAATAGATCTGCACCAAATTTAAGATCACTTTAAACAGTTCAGCTGATCTATTAAGAGCTGTTCTTACCCTGTTATCTAGTGGATAATGCTATAGGCATTCATTAGGATTGCTTTAGATTTGCTAAGTATCATAAAAGCAAAGGTTTTAATAAAATTTGTATGGTACAACCCATCACTGTTCTTCACCAGGAAGGTTAATTTGCATAATTTTCTGAAAAAAATTTACATTTCTAAAGTGCGCCATCTACATCAACATTTCTTTACTGAAGGAGGAAGCTAAGCAAGGAGAGAACAGGCTGCAAAAGCTAAAGTTTGTTCCCCACCTTGCTCTGCTAGCCCTCACCTGATCTGAGAGAGTGAGAGGAGAGGAGTAACCAATCCTGCAGCCGTAAGTGATGCAGGAAACTTCCGCTGTCAGTTCTAACACGTGGGCCAGAGGCAAATAACCAATGTAAGTGTCCTTGGGTCTGGGAAAGAAAAAATAATTAACCATGAGTCACAAGTGGCCTGAAAATACCATTTATACATTTTATTGTGTGCTTAGTTATTACTTTTTGATTCACCTGGATCACAGGTGAGCTTATTCTCCTGCACAGAAGACAGGTGTTATTTCAGCCACAGTATATAAACAAATTGGGGAAATCTGCCCTTACTGAAATCAATATAAATGACAGGATTTGCCTTGTTTTCTAGAAAACTCTGATTCCTTAGTCCTTTACTGCTATTTCCTCGTGGGAGGTTTCATTCCAGTTATGAAATTAAGGATGAAATAACTATACTTTAAAAAAATGTCCAATGATTTACAAAGCCCTGTCTGTCATCTTCTTCTAGGCTACATTACTAGAAAGAGAGCTGATTACTGAAGTAACTGAGGCTGGTTTCAGAATGTAATTGCTCAGAGATTTCTCAGCAAGAACCTTAGAGCTTAACAGCATCTTTCAGCATCTAGCCAGAACTGGGTTTATATCCTCTCACAACAGCAGTCTGGCAACAGGGCTTATTTCAGCTAATGAACCCTTTGTGAATCCAGAGACAAATACACATACTTCCATAAAAAACTTCCTCAAAACATTAATCTGAGTGAATTTTCACTTGGTTTTGCTGTTGTCAATACATAATTTATTATTTTTCTGCTCCGTCAGTGAACTGTACTTGAGTAGATTCTGCAGCAAGAGTGGTGTCTCCAGGTGGGTGAAGTGCTAGGCTCTGACATGCTTCCCAAATCGATTCCACGTTCCTGAAAATGTCTAAAAACATTTCCCAAGTTGTACTAGAGAAGGACTCTTTTATATAGTGGTATCCTCTGATACTCAAAAGTGCAAAAATCCATTACAGACTTAGAGCTAAGGGTAATAATAATAGGAAAAGCAACAGAATGTGAGAGAACAGCTATAATAGCTATTTTTCAAACAAAGGAAGTTCACACACGTAAGACATATTTCTTATAAATTAAAGAGTAGTGGCCTTACAATAACCTGAAGAAACTTGATAACCAAATGCCAGTTGCAGACTCTATAAATGTGACACTTTTGGAGGTTGTTTTAGCTCTCTGTACACCAAAGACAACAGTGTTTCTTACCCCAGTCCAGGTATTCTCTCACACTGTCCTGTCATTCCAGCTATTAAGTTTTTATGCATCATCATCACTCCTTTAGGTCTCCCAGTAGAGCCACTGGTGTACATTACTAAAGCCAAGTCTGTAGGAACAGGTCTGCTGGGCAGAATGTTTGCTATGAAAGGAGGAAAACTGTTATTTATTCTTATCTTCTTTCTAGATATTATTTCTGTAATTAATCAATGTGAAAATGTTTGTGATCAGTGTGAAACGGGTGCTTCACTGAAGGCCAGTGTAGCAGTGTGCCTCAGGGAGACAAGGAGTTAACACTGTCCCACCCCAAACCCCTTGTGAAGGGCGACCCAGATGTTCTGATTGGGTTTGAGTCCCTGGGGGGTTTCTCCCTTGCTGTGCTTCTACTGGCCCCTGACCCTCAACTCCACCCTCAAGGGTGGAAACCCTTAAGAGTTCTGTCCCTCAAAAACCCCTGCTCTGCCTCTGTTCAGGGCTCTCTGTTCTGGACCTGAATCTGTTCCCATGCTGAATAAATGGTTTCATGAACACGAGCCCGTCTCAGTTGGTGTTTCATGCTGGTCCCCAGAATCCTGCTGCTTCTCTGGACAAGATCCTGGAGTTGCGGACTGCAACAGCCAGAACAGCAAGTTTTTGCACAGTCAGTGCTGGAGAGAGTAGGTATCTAGTTTTAAGAGGAAGAGAGGGAAGGCCAATTTTGAAAGGAACAATGAGTATCTGAGCATCTACACAATCTGGGTGACACTTTTGTGATTTTGTTTTATAGCTGACTGAGTTTCATAGAAGGAGTCTTTTGAAGATCAAATAAAACTATCAAAGTCAGCAAAGGGGAGAAATACAGTACTGATAATAAACAGCAAGTTGAGTAAAAAAAAAACAAAACTAAAAAACCAACACCCAAAAAGCTTCAAGTCAGCTTTTCTATCCATCAGTCTTTCAAAGCCAAGGTTGTACAGGTAAGACCCCTTTTAACTCCCTCCACATTTTTTTTTAAAATTATTATTTTTAAATAAACCTTCCTCAGGTAAGCTGCCAGTTTAGTAGAAAAGCAGTAAACTTAGAACACTTGACTTCTGATTTTTGTTTTAGTCCTCTTAATTCTTAGGATGACAATCATCAGCTTTCATGGCTTTCACAGTGTCTGCAAGGAAGCAGCTTTTTTAGAAACTAAGCCCAAGAAAAAAACTCCATTAGGGTCATTGCTGGTCAGCACCTCAGGCTGATCAGAGATAAACAGCTGTGATGAATGTGTGTTTCCCAAAGCTCCTTTGCCAGTTTATTTCCTCCTTTATTCCAGGGAGAAATGTGGTTAATTACAGACTGCTGATGTAACGAGAACAGATCATTAGGGTTGGGTTTTCCTTCCTTAAAGCAGATGCTTACAGTCACTGCTGGCTGCCCAATGGAGCAAGGAATAAATATAACTGGTATTCCTCTAGCCTTAAGTGCTTTTCAGCTACAGCTTGGTTAAGATAATGGTAATTTCCAAGCAAAAGAAACAAAAAAGCTTTAAATGCTTTCTCCTCTTTTCTTAGAAAAAATAGTGACAATAAGATAAATAAAAGGTAAGAGTAGCAGAAAATAAAACATTAAACCAGTTTCTATTTAATTTCCTAAAACAAAGATGAAGTATTAAATTATTCTGGTTATGGTTTAGAAGTTCAAACCAAAGTTTTATCCTGATATACATGAACAAAAGATATAAAACAAAGTTTTTGTTTATTTAAACGGAGCTGGAGGATGAACTAGCAACCTGCCACTGTCTTTGCTGGTGACAAAGGCCACCCTTTTCTGGGTAGGGGGTGTTTCTGCTACACATCCCTCTTAAATCAGGTCTGATTTCACTGCTAACACTGCTTGATTAGTCAGTCCTCTGGGAAGTGATTCACTTACAGTTTTCTGGTTTGGCTCCCAGCTCTTTTACTGCCTGCATACTATGAATCTCCATGTTTTCAGGGTATTCTGATTTATTGACTGTCTTCTTGTCCACATAAATGATATGTTTCAGACAGGAGATTTGTGGCAGTGCTGTCTACAGAAGAGAAATGAAATTTTTAGTAGTGTATTGACTGAACTGTAGCGTTGCTTATAGCAGGTGAAGATGATACCAAATTACCTTAAGTTTGCTCTCAAGGAGTTCCACACTTGTGACCAGATATGATGCTCCACACTCGTTGAGACCATAGGTCACTGCCTCTTCACCCAGGGTGGCATAGAGAGTGACAACTGTCACAGGAATGGGAGAGGACATGAAAGAAGGGTTAAAATAATACTAAATGCAAAACGCTCTCGCATTAGCTTACTGGAAAGCATTCATTTGAAAATTTTCTAATTTGGAAATAAAACAGCTTTTAATTTTTCCACATCAGAAATGTTATGGCACAAGAGACCTCTGGAACAAGGAGGACAGCTGGACAGGAAGCATGTCTTTACTAAGAGCATGGCCAAATACTGGAACAGGGTTCCTAGAGAAATGGTTGATGCCCCTAGACTGTCACTGTTTAGAAGGCCTTTGAACAATGCTTTAAGCTGTAACTTTTTAGTCAGCCCTGAAGTGGTCAGGCAGTTAGAAGGAACCTATAACGATCATCTACATCCTCCTGAAATAATTCTGCTTTTTCTATAGCAAAAAAGAAATTATCAGAACAAACAGATGCATCAGAACCCAAAAATAATGTACAAAGCAATCCCAGAGTAAGCAACTAAGAGCAGGTGTTCTGCCCCTGAGCTCTCTGCAACCAGAACTCAGGGGCAGAGGTGACACTCAGACATTACAGGCCACCAGCTTAAAGCTGGGCATGGCTACAGGCAGCTCTTTGCACAGTGTCAGCTACTTTCCTTGCTCCCATGGAATTAGTGATGGCAGCAAGACAGAGAATCAGACTAAGGAATCAGACTGTTTTTCATGCTGCCAGGTTATTTTTAACCCAGACGGGCTACAGGAATGTCATTAAGTGCCTCCCAGGCACAATGGAGTTCACCTCTCCCCTTTATCTCTCTCTACTGAAAAAAACCTTCTTTAGTATAATTTGATATCTCAAAGTGTAATCTCCAAAGACCATTAAAGGAATTTAACACTGCTGTGGGATAGGGTTCATGCAGAAGAAGAAAAAGAGTAATATTATACAGCTATTTCTTATTGCCTTTCAAAGTATAGGGATTCAGACCAAATTAACCATAGTCTCTTCCTTCAGTAGCAAGGTCATCTCTTCCACTACTGCCCCTGAATTGCCTCTCCGCACACTCTGCTATATGAGCTGCTCGTCACACAGCAGCTACTACTGCTGCTGGGAGAAAAAGAGACAGCCCAGTGTAAGCAAAAAAATGGGCTGTGGATCACAGTGTGTTGTGTACAAAATGGGAACTAGAGCACTCAGTAATCACTGCAGCTCACCAAGGAGTATGCATGCATTAACTCCCACTAGAGTTTTCAGACAGCTTGAATTTAAAAAAAAAAAAAAAACCCAACAAAAAATAGATAATTGTACTGAATTTGAGGAGCTTACAAATGTCACCAAAATAGACTACCAACAGACTATCATATGATATTGTTTACCATTCTTCTCTTCTGATAATCATTTCATATTTTAGATGTATTATTTAGGATACAGTCAGAAAATACTATAAAAACATCCCACATTTTGTGGAGAGAAATGCAACTACTGATATCTTCAGAACATTTTAAACAACCTGAATATTAAGTGTACTATTCTGTCATTTTAGCATCTAGAACATTACTACAATAAAATAAAAAATAATACAGTTTCATAAGTATGAGCAAGTTCACTTTAGCCATCTCCACAATGCATAGAATAGACTGAAAATTTTTAAGAGTCAAACCATCAGCAGAGAAAGTTTATGAAATTCTTGCATCTCCAATGATAAATCTGTCAGAGTTGAAATACCAAACAGTCAGATCTGTGCTGAGAAATGGTTCTAAAATACATTAGAAGTAACTAAGTTGAGCACTCACGAGGGAAGTTGTACTTGAAGCAGGTGAGAGCTACAATCATCCACTCAGCGCGGGTCTCACAAAATATGACAACGGTGCTTTTTGGGGTTAGTCCCAGGGCAGTCAGTCCATTCCCCAAGAAAGTAATTTGCTCGTTTACCTCTTCATAGGATAACCATCTGTAAGTTCCTAAAATTAACTTAAGAGGAAAAACCAATGAATTTTCATGACAAAAAACTTCTGGTATAGCTCTACTGGCTGATGTCAGTTGGTGCACAACACCATAAGTACACAGTCTGCCATTCATTAAGAAATTGCTTTCATTTTACTTGAAGTAGAATAAATAGTGCATCCTGTATATTCTGATATTCCTCAAGTACTGTTAAATGAATGGTTTATTAGATGATGACTGAGGAAGAGATCTGAAAGGACATAAATTGTTGAGGAGAGATACAAAGCATCTCAAAACCAAGTCAGAAGTAAGTAAAAAATTATATGTTTTACCTTTTTGAATACTTTTCCATTTGGCTGCATTTCATTTTCTTCACTCAGAATTTCCCTGGTTCCAAGACAGTCCTTCTTCCCAAACTTTGCTAAAGCATGGTCAAAGAGCTTGTCCAGTGTGTCTGCTCCAGGGATGTTTATGTTTGCTAGTGAATCCAGGTGAGTGACAGAGCGGTAGGGGCTCCCCGGCTTGTCTGAGATGGGTTTAGCTTTTAACCGCTTTGCCATAGCCTTTTTCTTCTCGGCATTGGTAAGAAAATACCAGGGAATAAATACCAGCATACTGTACAACCAGATTAACAAGTACACAGGCAGCAAGAGAATGGCACACATTTCTAGCCTAAATTTAATTGTGGGTATTTAAAAAAGAAACTCGTATGGAGTTCTGAAGCAGGCAAGAGTAAGGCAGCAGCGCAGAGTGGTGTAGGGAGAAGCAACAGTAGGTGAAGCTTAAGTAGTGCTGATTCAGAGCAGCTGCAAAATTTAAGTAACCTTTGAGAGCCAACAGTAGACACCTACAAGAGAAAACCAGTGCCAAGCAGACAGCAGGAAAAAGAAAGAAAAATAATTAAATTAGTAAGATTACAGTCAGTTAATTAGTTTTTGTCCTTCTAACACCTCACTTCAAAAGCATCACTGCACTATAGAGCAGTGAACTGCTCTGGGGATGAAAGAGGATGAATCTTTTCCACAGTTTTTTCTTGCATCCACAAATATTTACTTTTCACAGACTTTTCCCCATTATTTCTGTTTGAATAGTTCAAGGCTGTTGTGATGAAGTCTCCTTCACAACATAATACTGTGTTTAAGCTACTTGAGTAATGACACAATTGTGTAATTATGGGAAAGGTCAACACTTGTTTTCCCACTAAATATCTGTGCCACCAAGAAAAGGTACAGCAGATTGTTTTATGGCTTTTCAGAATATTCTATCAATTTCTATTCAGATTAAAATGAATCTTGATATATTCAAAAATAGTATCTATAGACTTCAAAGTCTACATGCTTTAATCTAAAAACTATATAACATTCAAAAATTGCTTTATTAACTTTGCTCCAGCAACTGCATTTTTAAGCTTCTATTTTCAACTCTGAATATCAGACTCTTGGAAAACGATTATGCAGCTTTGCTTTTCCAATTTCAAAAACTACTTCAATACATGCATTTCAAATTCCAAGTATGGAAAACAGAATAAAATTTGATTTTAACTCAATTTTAACTCAATTTAAAATAAAGTACAATTTGGCAAGATTTTGTCAGCATGTCAGAAATCTTCCCCCATTAAGGAGAACTGGGCCTAAGTAAGGCTAAATAAGGATGGTGAGTCAGAGAAAAACAAAACCATCACAGCAAACTCCAGTCATGGCCAGCCCACTGGCCTGGGACCAGTCTGCACTGGTATGTGAGAGATGGGTGGTTATCTTCACCTAGCTGTGCAAACACAGCCTGCTAACTCATCACCCATGCTGCCACAGTGGGTAAAATAGAAGGCATAGGTGCAGGAACCAAGGGCAGAACCTCAGACAGGCAGGGCAGCCAGTGACACTAACATCCACCATCAGAGCCCAGGCTGTCATGGACACCATCTGATAAACAGAATGGATGAGAATAGGGAAATTCTACAGGCTCCATCAAGAATTAAAAGAACATAGGCACATCTCAAAATACACCTTTAATAATATATTTGCCACCCTCAAGTGCTGAGGGAGGCTACAATTTTCATTTCAGGTTAAACAAAACAACTGTTTGTTTAGCAGTTTAGCAGACAGATGTCAGTTAACAGGTTGGGATGTTATTTAATGAGAATTTCAACATTAGCAGTTGTGTTGTAGTCAATATTAACAGCTTTAATGTAATGTAAGACCTCAGTGAGAGATCTGCAGATAATTAAAACAACATGATGACCACATTAATTTTGTAATTACAATTACAGAATAAAATTACTATTGACTGATAGCATAATAAACTAAACTAAACTAACCTAAGCTCACACTTGTATGGATAAAAGTATTCTGTATGGATGAAAGTATTCTGCCTATTTATTTTTATAAAAAATGAATGTTATATTATTTTCAAAGCATACATGTTTATTCTGCTCTGGTGAACCTTACCATCAACAGCAGAAAAGAGATCAGTTTAGTTCCCAAAGCTCCAGTTCTCTAAAATGAAGTATTATTGGTTTATAACACAAATCTTGTATGATATTTTCATTCCAGTTAATTCAGTGCTCCAAAAACAGTAGTTGAGCTTGTATTTCAAAGACAAGCCAGCCACAGCTCTAAGACATAGTAAGGAAATGTCAGGACACACCCATGGTTACACATAATGCTACAAGTTAAAATAAACTCCAAGGGAACTCCAGCTGCTCCTCACCTTCCAACAATGAACAAATGACCAGGTACACTGACTTGGATAAAAAGCAGAGTTGTGAGAGTACTACAACCTATTTAATGCAATGAGACAGTACCACAGCTTTTCTTTAGGCTGCGTAGGAGCTTGTTCAGAAGTGGTCTTACTCTGAAACACTACTGGCTAATAATCAAGAACTGGCTAACTTAGGAAGGGAGGGGAGGAAGGTTGCATTTCTTTCATTTTGGATTTTCAAGTTAATTTGAAATACTTTAAAAAGTGTTTATAAAAAGAGAAAACTTAGCTAATTTGTACATATTTGTAGTAATTTAAAAGAGAATCACATTTCTATCCTGACAAAAATAAGTTGTTATTCTTTAAAAGACATCACACACACACACACGTGTACTTACAAGGGATCTCACAGTGATGACTGAGGTTTTTTCACTGTTGATTAGATCTACAGTGAAACAGAAAAAAAGGGCATATTAGAATTTAGGATGTTTTTTACCTTGCAGAAAGGAGGAATCTTTAGAACTTCCACCTTACTGCTCCTAAGAAGCACAGGCTATGAATTTAGACAGAGGTGCAACACAGCTCATACAAGGGAGAGCAATTACAGTACTGGAAAATATTAAGGTTCCAAACTACATTGGAAGGACAAGAGATGAAGCTGCCAAAAAGGGGCTTAAATTTTATGTGACATTACTTCCTCCCTTTCATATTTAAACATGTTCTGAATGAAATTATGAACAGAAGCTTCAATGCAATTTAATTACCGATGAAACCCAGAAAGACAAAGAAGAGAGTGTGATATTCCATATTGTCCATTCTTCTGACTTAAGGCAGAACAGGAAGACCTTTGTCACTCTTGATAGATAAGTGTCAGTCGAAACATGAACTCAGGACTACCCATGGCACATATTGCCCAAGAGAACATGAAGTGGATTTGGGGTATTGATGTAAGAGAAGAGTTTCCACACCAATGTTCTGCATTTTTATAGAGACAGTGAGGCCTCATTGGTTCCATGACCAGCGCAATAAAAGACAGCTGTGTGTAACTGTAGAGATAAGGCTCCAAAAAGTCTACTGCAGAAAGCTTTAACTGATGTTTAACCCTGTTATATTTTAAAAGTCCTTCCTGTAAGTCTAAGATTTTGATCCCTTTTATAAACTGAAACTGAATTAAAAATCCTTTGCAAAATTCTCCTACAAAGATTTTCCCTTGAAATATAAAGAAGAGGTGCTAGAATGTCTTTAGAGTAACTGGCATTTGCATGTGGCTGTATAAGATTTTGATCCATTGCAGGATCATCCCAAACTCATGCTAAATAAATATTTATTTTCTCTTAAATATACTGTATATAACAGACTGGAAACCTAACAATTATAACAACAGGCAAAGGTACCTCCACACCAGAATTCAGTTAAAAACCAAATTTAGCTATTCAAATTACAGCTTATACCTTCAATCTCCCACTTAATTAGACGTTAACAGAAAGGATGAGATGCAATGCTCACATCAATATACCATCAAGGACACTTCAAGGTAAGACAACTACATATTACTAAAGTATAAATTATGTTCTTCATAAACTCCCTCATTCCTTACAAATAAATTTAGCACTCATGACAGATTTCACAATAACAAGATAAAACTGTTATTTGACACTGGAATACTTAGAATAGGTAATGTTTTTTATTGGTTTACAAAGCTTATTTATTATTTCTTTTGACTGTTGAACAGAATGATCCTCTTTAGATGCTTAGCTAGCTATTCTGGAAACAGCAGAGCCTCCAATTCTTGAGGCAGGAAATGCATGTGCCCAGAAAGAGTAGTGTGCGTTAGGTGTGACTACAAGAAAAAATCAAAAAACCAAAACAAAACAGATGTTGTTCCTCTCCTAGATAGCTGTTTTTCAGCATTTCCAAAGGATTTTCCTCAGGTAAAGCAGCTTGTATCAATTTTGAAGTGGTCTTTGCAATGACATGTTGCAGCGTTTATGCTGGAAACCTCCTCATGAGGTAATGTTTCACTTACGGCTTTTATATGCTAGGTGTTAACAAAAATGCTATAGTCCAAGTTTAATCCTGACTGACACTGTACTTTATGGGCTGCTAGAGACAGAAGAGATGTTCTCTAAGTATAATCTGACTTTTATATCCTTAATTAAAAGTTCAGACAGATAATATGAAACACTGTACTCCTGTCCTGTAGGCAGGGTCACAGAACAGAATCTGAAATCAAAGCACACATTCTGGAACAGGAGAGACATTACTCTCTTCCCAATTTAACTCAAATCTAAGAAACAACTAGCAATTATGTTTTTTAATATAGAAAAAAAAAAGCCCTTTTAAATAGTAACAAAAGCTTATGGGACTAAGGGCAAAAGTAAGAGCAGAAGTGTGTATGGGGAACAGAGAGGCTTTATGCCTCCGGAAGTGACTTCTCAGAGGAGGAAATGCCCTAATCTTCTCTGCTTTTGTCTCTCCAAATTGAACAGAATCAACTTACTCAGCATTTACACACAGTATGAAAATTTTTAAGTGTAATTAAATTCTAACGAAGTACCTGTAGCTAGAAATTTTATCCTATGCAGTTTAACTTCAATAAAGCAGCAAATTATTATTTCAATAGGAAAGGCTTTAATTAGCCCAAGCCCAAAACACTCTAAAGGCTTAGTAGTGAAAGTATAACAACACTGTTTATAATCCTTCCTCTGGTGTTTAAAAGCTTGCCATGAATCCAGTTTACTATGGAATAACATGATTAGAAGAAAACACAACTTCATTTTCTGTCTGCTTCAAACATTGTGTTAGGAAAGTCACTAGTAAGAAAGATGACATTAGAGAGAAAAAGGGCTGTGTTTTAGTTGGTGAAGAAAACCGGACTCTGCAAAGCAGATTGTTTTTAGTTTAAAAGCAACACCAGAGGAAGTCTGGTTCCTCTGCATCAGAGCTCTTGGAGCTCTTGCCAACTTCAAATGGAGAAACAATTCTGATTTTAGCATGAGTGCTTAGGGCTGACTCAAGTCAGGAAGTTCTGAAATCTTCCAAAACAATCCAGTATGAGTAAGTAACAACCATTTCTGGAATTTCTCCATCATCCAGGAAGATATAAACATTTTGGAAACCACAGTAAGCATTCAGGATTTGCAACTGGAAAAGTGGTTTTATACAGAAAAAAAAAAAAAATTATTTGACCTGAGTAAGTATGTGGGTATTCAGCTAGTCAGTTTTTGAAGGGAACTTAGTTGGTATTTAGTCATCCTGAATTTGTTCCAGTACATGACAGTACCAGGCTGGAATTTCAAAAAGACATGATACAAAAACTAAGAAATACCACATAGCAAGGAAGATGCAGCACAATAAACAAATGAGTGCATACTGTCAGGCTCTCAAGTTTTGATTTTCCAGATTTATACCTAACACACGCAAGTATGAGAAAACATTTCCATAGCTGAGAAAACTGTGATCAAATAGCAGTAAGAGTTAGAAGAATCTGGTAGCTAATTAAAACTTAGTTGGGGTTTGAAAGATTGAAGGAAAAGAAACTGAAGGGAATTATTCTGTTTTTACACCATGTCAATGTTTTTACAAAAACAAACTCCAGAAATATTAATGCAGGTTACTCATGGTAGGAAAAGGTTCATGAGGTCTCATTTTTCTTTCTTTCTCACAGGCATATTTTCTTCTTGTAAATTTTGGTACATCACAAAGGGCAGTGAAAATCCAGAGAAAGCCTAACCAAACCTAGCCAATTTTCAGAAGTAATTTTCTGTGCTCTGGCAATGCAATAGCAGCTCAAAGCCTGAGAGCTCTCACTATGCATACAGTGTAAATACTGGTACCTATGCCCCAACAAACAGGGAGAAGGGAAATCAGTTGTATTGGATCCTGATACAAGTTTAAATATATACATTCTACTTGAAATAGCAAAATCACAGGTAGTATTAGGAAACTATGTTTCTCTTACTGCTGCTTAAAAAATACTGCTGCTTAAGACAGTATTTTACTCAGCTAATAGAAAAAGGGAAGATTTATTTTGGTTTTCAAGAAAAATATTATTGTTGTCCTTTATGTTCATTGCTTCTGCTTACTACCTCAGAACATATATGCACTTAAAAGTCAATCAGGAAAAAAAAAATCAATTTGCAAGTGTCAAACATCTATTTCTGCTTTACTGTAGTGGAAGACAGCCCAGCCACACTGACACAGTATTTCTCAATTATCTAAGAGCTGGGTGTGAAACTCTCTCCCAATTTGTAACATGAGTGCAACCAACTATTTGGTGAAAGGGTAAGAGCTGTTTCAACGCCCCAAAGGCAGAAAATGTTAAAGGCCAAGGCAAGATTCCACAATTGAAAAATGTCCATTGAGACTACACTGAATTGGGAAAGTACTTCCTCTGACCCACCTGTTCCTTTGTCTCAAATTCTATACAGTACCTGTCCTGTGAGTACCTAAGACTCTCTCACTGCAGCCTTGTTTCTCCCACAGGCTGTACCCAGCCTGCACTGTGCTCTGGTCACAGCCTGGACTGCACAGCCTGTCAAGTCACAGAACTACAGAATCATAGAATGTTAAGGGGTTGAAATGGACCTCAAAGCTCATTTTGTTCCATCTCCCTGCCCTGAGCAGGGACACCTTCTGCCTGAACAGGTTGCTCAGGGCCCTATCCAGCCTCACCTTGAATAACTCTAGGAATGGGGCATCCACAGTCTCCCTGTTCCAGTGCCTCATCACCCTCACTATAAAGCATTTCTTCCTATTACCTAACCTTAATTTTCCCTCTTTCAGTTTGCACTCTTTCCCCCTTATCCTGTCACTAGAGTTCCTCACAAAGAGACCCTCTCTGGCTCCTCTGAAGGCACCTTCAGATACTGGAAGGGGCTGTGAGGTCCCCACGAAGTCTTCTCCCAGGTGAACAGCCCAAATTCTCTTGCCCTGTCTCCATAAGGGTACTCCAGTCCTCTTAGCAACTCCATGGCCTCCTCTAGACTTGCTCCAACATCTCCATATCCTTCTTATGTTGGACACCCCAGAACTGTGTGTGAAAGTCCAGGCTGGGACTCACAAGGGCAGGACAGAAAATCACCAAGGTCAATCTGAGTTACACACTGCACTGTGAATGCACTCACTATGACTGATGACAAACACAGCTGTTTCAGTATCTTTTTTTGTGGTAAGGGAAGTGAGAGGCATCTTTCTGCTTCACTGGCATTTTAGTTAATGAGTAAGCTAAAAACTGGTAGCTTGGACACAGGGTATTCCAGAAGAAGATGGAAAAGGAGAAAATGTGCAACTGAAATATACTGTTATTACTAACATCTACCAAATATACTTGAACAAAAGGGGAAAAAAATAAAAAGAAAATACATATTCTATACTAATAAGGAAGTATTTCAGTCTGATCCCCGAACATACACCCCTATCTCATCAGGCATTATGATAAATGTT